TTAAATTAATAATAGCAGTTACTTATCGCTGATAGCATGCAGCGTTATTTAAATTGCACTGAATATGTAAGTAAACAAAAGAAATAAAAAGATATAGATTAAATGAATATCAAATGGAATGACAATTGTAACTTTATTAAGGTATTGTAATTAACTTGGAAGACTAATAACGACAAAAACGATTTATTTACACTAATTATTGAAGAACCTAAAAACACTATTAAATTATAAAACTTAGATTATGAATTATTCTATTTACTTACACTACCTGTTGATATACCACTATTCACTGCGCTATTTATTTCACCGTCAATTATTACTGGATTTACTTCTGCGACGGTCAATTTATTTCTTTCTTTCTCGGCGATCGTCTCTTCCTTTAAATACTCTTTTGTTTCCTTTCGGGAACCTTCTCGAACCGTCCGGAAAAGTTTCTTTTTCTTTGAACTGTTTAATTGCTTTCCCAGAATGCAGGTACAACACACACATTTACAGATACGGCGCACATGAAGAAAGGCGCCCGCGGCTAGCCGGCGAATCGATAAGCCGTTCACACACACGTATGCCCGATTGCACACAAACACGCTCGTGCTCGCTACAGTATATTTCTTAACCACCACAGAGATATTGCCAAGGCGCGTTATCTTTTTTACATTCCGGAACATCTATCAAATTATTTCGGATTCACGCCAAAATGTCCAGCATCGATCATGCTGATCATTAGTAATGTGAAGTGGTGTTTGATACACGTGCCGTTTCATACAACTCTATACAAACAAGTGCAGGGGATTTAGATTTTTACAATGCGCCGGCAATTGTACAGCACCCCTTCATCTATTCCACCGTCCAGGAATCTGCTCGTCTAGAAATTCACGAACTACTCTTTCAATCTGAGGGAGTGCATCATCGGGCTAACAAACGTAGGTTTACGCATTTGCAATATTAGCTCCTAAAGTGCAATTGAAGGTCTCTTGTAGAAATAGTCAAATACATCGCGTCAAATACATGCACAGGTAGAACGAACGACCTAAACAGCAAATCCACCACACATTTACACCAATACTAACTATTGAAATTCCGTCCCTCATGAAACAGCATACGTCCATAAATATCTTATGGAAGCAATTGGACTAAGCAGCACTTTTCTGATAAAATTATTGACACTTTTGATTAGGAAGCAGGAACTTACTGTTCCTTTAAAATTTGTCACGCTGTCACATGAGAGGAGTCAACCTTACCTGCTATTTCTTGTGTAGGTACCACTTTGGGAATTGTCTTCATTCTCTTAGCTGCCCCCGACCCTCAAATGTAGGGTATGCATTAGGGTGGGTCGACAAAAATTGTTTTTGAATTTCTTAAACGGCTAGTAAAAAAAGTTGTCTTAGGTGTATGTGATAACGAGTACAAAAAATTAAATATGAAAACGCATAGTAAAATTTCCTTCTAGAAAGTTTCGATGTCGATTTATTTACAGCAATATACTGAAAAAAGGTGATAAATTTAGTGGATCGCCATTAAAGTTTCTTCCCTCGAAATCACTACACAACCTCTCATTGTTGTTCGCGAGATTGTTCCAGACCAATCACTACTAATAGCTCGTTTCGTAAGAGCTACTAACCAGATGGAGAAGATTTCATGCTCTTCCGACTTCGTATAAGGCAAGGTCTAGAGGTTTCGACAATTGCTTAGCATTCGGGAGGACGCCGGTTCGATTCCGTGTCCGCCTGCCTTGTTCCAAGTTTTTCTGTGGTTTCCTTGAGTGATTTAGGCAAATCCTGGGTCAGTAATATTCCACAGATAATATTTCATTCTCTTCTGCCTTCATTTTTCTCTTTCTCACACAAACCACCACTCACCCATTCCCACGTTTCCTGAAAGGAGGCTGAAGAGAGCCTTCCGCCCTACATTCCGACATATTTCGGAGGGATTGCCCGCCTACCAGCATTGGTAGCTGGTGGCAATGAAACACCCAAAATTTTTTATTTTTTTTCGCAGGCTCGGCGGATTATTCCTTTTATTTAAAGCGTGTTCGTCTGCTGTCTTACTTCGATTCGCCTATGGGCATCTTTCAAAAATAAGTTGGGCGCAATAAGGTCGCATGCGCACAACTAGTTTTTAAATAATGTTCGCAAATCTCCAATTTTGATGACTTTTGCTGAAGGTCATGCATGTGTATGCTAATAGTCCGAAGGAATCAATCCAATACACAGTAGTTTTAAAAATATTCGAATTCTTATTAATTGTATTCATCTAGTATGACTATTCTCGGTTGTTTGTCAATTAAATTGGTAGGTATTGACTAAAGGTAAGTGGTGGTCTGGGTATACAATTTATTTTGATGCTAATTTCTACCACTTACGTTTTTCTTTAATTCAATTAGGTTAGAATTTTACTGACAAAAGAATGTAAGGAATGTTATTATGAACTAGGGTACCGAATCGTAGAGGGCTAGAGGTTAGTAGGGGCGGCAAAATTTAGCCTACTGGGGGCAAATGTGAAAATCCGTCACTAATTATAAGAGAAACGAATGATAGGTCATTTTTCAAAACATCTTCTTAATAAAAATATTTTACCAAATTTTATATAACTAATAGAACTAACAGAATATTGTTAACAATAAACAAACATTGAGAAGATCGGAAAATAATAATAATAACAATAATTTTCAAATTTTTCACTAATGCAAAAAGATGGTAAACATTATTTTTATCCACCTGAAAAAGTACTTTGTAATATTCCATGTTAAGTACTTTGTAATATAGACGTCTAGTCTAATATCATTGCAGCATCCAGAGACTTCGATGAACATCGGATTAACTGAACATATGCAACATCGAGGCGAGTACTTGAATGGTTGGGTGACCTCAGTGTATACTAGGAAAATCGTCCCCAAAATTCCTTTTTCTAATATTTTTCGTAGATCTGTTATATATATATAAATAATGTAAATTAATGTAATGTTCGTGGGTTTAACAAACTTAACTTTTAAGACTGATAACGACAAAAATTATTTACACTAATTATTAAAGAAATTAAAAACCCTATTAAATTATTACTAAACTTATGTTATGAATTATTCTATTTATTTACACTATTGTTGATATATTACTATTCACTGCGCTATTTATTTCACTGCTATCACTGTCAATTTATTTCTGGATTCACTTTTGCAACGGTCAATTTAATTCTCCTCTCCTTGGCAATCGTCTCTTCCTTTAAATACTCTTTTGTTTACTTTCGGGAGCCTTCTTGAAACATCCGGATANAGGACACCTTCTCAGGCATGAAGGTTTAGTCAGAGACATATTAGAGGCATAAACAGGAGTTAGGAGGGGTAGAGGTAGACCTAGGTTAGATTACTGTTTACAAATAGTTAAGGATGTGGGTTGTTCTAGTTTTACGGAAATGCGAAGATTAGCTCAGGATAGGAAAGAGTGGAGGTATTGTACGTGTCCAACCAGTCTTAGGACTGACGACCCTATGATGATGATTTTATATTAAAAGTTATGCTATTTTTCAAATAAGGGTTTTTCATGAAAGAATTAAGACTGTGCTAAAAAACATTGAAAAAAGAATTTTCTTAGTTAATGTGGGTCCGGGAAAATACATAAAAAATCAGATCAAATTTGTGGCACTGACGTTAAAATTACTTTTTCAAATATTTTTATTTGCAATGTTGCAAGAACTATTTTACCGATGTGACCACATTGGAAATATAAAATATGTATACAATGTATTCCTGAAGTAAGTGGTAAGCTTTGAAGGGTGTTAATGCAATACGGAATCGAATGGTGAATAGAGAAACGTGATTTAGTGGCAAAGAAAATTATGGAAACCATAGGAAGTTACAATCCGAAGCCAGTCCAGGGAGTGAATTAACAACGTATATCTGTACTTAGTTAAGATAAGAACTCGGAAATTACATCGATGGAGAATGTAAACAGTGCTGCTGCATTACTACTACAAATAACGTTTTGACGCTCATTATAGTAAAATTAAATTAATAATAGCAGTTACTTATCGCTGATAGCATGCAGCGTTATTTAAATTGCACTGAATATGTAAGTAAACAAAAGAAATAAAAAGATATAGATTAAATGAATATCAAATGGAATGACAATTGTAACTTTATTAAGGTATTGTAATTAACTTGGAAGACTAATAACGACAAAAACGATTTATTTACACTAATTTTATTAAAGAACTTAAAAACACTATTAAATTATTACTAAACTTATGTTATGAATTATTCTATTTATTTACACTATTGTTGATATATTACTATTCACTGCGCTATTTATTTCACTGCTATCACTGTCAATTTATTTCTGGATTCACTTTTGCAACGGTCAATTTAATTCTCCTCTCCTTGGCAATCGTCTCTTCCTTTAAATACTCTTTTGTTTACTTTCGGGAGCCTTCTTGAAACATCCGGATAGTTTCTTTTTTTCTTTGAACTGTTTTCGGAGAACGCAGGTATGACACACACATTTGCAAATACGGCGCACATGAAGAAAGGCGCCCGCGGCTAGTTGGCGAATCGATAAGCCGTTCACGCACACGTGTGCCCGATCGCACACAAACACACTCGTGCTCGCTACATTAATATTGCATACAAAGGATTTATTTAACAATTTGGCAAATTAAAATATTTAATTTGATCTGCTTGGATCCACTTGGATCGTGCCAAAATTTGTTTGGATCCAATCATACATCGTTAAATCCAAACCATTATCATCAGGTAGTTCTTAAGAATGATCCGTGCGGGATTGAAACAGCACTTACTTATTAATGAGACAGTAAATGTTTACTCATACAACAAAGCCAGTGTTTTTGTTACTAAATTCTCTTGTTTAGTTTTTAAGAAATGTATTAAATAAAATGCGATACACAATCTATAAATTGAAATTTATTATTTCTTTTATTAATTCTCTGGTTGATGGTCCGAAATATCACAGAGTTTAGTAGATTGACTGACTGTAGAAATAAATACGTTTAGCTCTAGTTTCATTACGTTTATTCATCATACAATGTTAAAACAATCATTAAGGTTAGCGACAATCATTCATAAAAATTTTATAACATGTAGCTAGTCATTTTTATAATTTATTCACACCAGAACAGAGTACATAGTTCATCTTAATTTATTTAAGGTGTACTAATTGCGGCATATAATTCACTTGGAGACTCAACTCAAGACGAATATTGATGATAATTATTGCTTGAATAAACCATTTCAGTAGGTAAAGACGTCTGAAGAATTTCTATAATAGCTGGGTGCCGACGAATGTATACGAGATCAAACTTATTTAAGTATTGGATTCTTTATTATATTACCATTAGGATTGTGAATACAGTGAGCGGGAATTAGTGTCCAAGTAATAATCACCAACGGCGCTAAAACGGTACACATGTATAAAATATGTGAAATCCTATGACATTGTTAGTTACTTAATAGTGGATTAATATGGAATATTAATTTGAAATTATTTTTTTGGATTTTTTATTTACTCACTACAAACTATTTCAAATTAATGAGGGAAAAATTGTTGCTGTTGTCACACCCCCGCCAGGAATCGAACCCGGGACCTTTGGGTTTACGCACCAATGTTCTGACCACTAAACTACGAGAGGTGACAACAGCAACCACGACCAACCGACCTACAAGGTTAACGATCCGTCGAACTAATGTAACTATATACTGAATATACTATGATTAAACATACATATAANCACTATAAACTACCTCACTATAAACTACCTCAATTTTTCCCTCATTAATTTGAGGTAGTTTGTAGTAGGTAAAAAAATTCAGAAATGAATTTTCAGATTAATATTTCATATTAAACTAACTCACTTCTAAAAACGATGTCTAAATTATATGTATGTTTAATCATAGTATATATTCAGTATATAGTTACATCACTTCAACGGATCGATAACCTTGTAGGTCGGTTGGTCGTGGTTGCTGTTGTCACCTCTCGTAGTTTAGTGGTCAGAACACATTGGTGCGTAAAGCCAAAGGTCCCGGGTTCGATTCCCGGCGGGGGTGTGACAACAGCAACAATTTTTCTCTCATTAATTTGAGGTAGTTTGTAGTGGGTAAATAAAAAAAAATCAAAAAAATGATTTCAAATTAATATTACATGTATAAAAGTTCGAAAAGACAGTAATTCCTAAATATTTACCTCCTATCAATATTTACCCCTCCAAGTCTGCTTCGCTTATTATGCTGACATTTCCCAGAAGTGAAATTAACGTAGTTGTCACATTTCCATGCAGTAAATCCTCCTGATCTTACTGATTCTGCAAACAATTTATAAGCTCTGGCATGTGCACAAACACCTGTTGGATCAATTCTGCATCCAGGTTGATCTTTTCCTCCATTGGGTCTGTAATCAGCAGTTCCAAGACTATCGTCATAGCCTAATCTGCCACCACAAGTGTGAATTGCGTGAACGAATTGGGCATCAGAAGGATGTAATCTGTTTTCAGTAATGTTATTAAAGTATAAAGGTCCTGCAGGATCCAAACCGACTATCACCCCAATGTCACTATTTGCAGCAGCTCCAGTGCATCCAGCTACATGAGCTCCAAGACTATGACTATAAAAAATAAATTTGCATTAGATGAATCAGATCATTTCAAATAATCGAAACATCTATAGAAATCGTCTCATAATGTTTGCTTACCCTACTATTGTAAATTTATCTGCGCCGAGTCCAAAATGGGCTTGCATGTCCTCAATGAATTGCCCTAAGTGTTGTCCAATTCTTGGTACGTTAGCAAATGCATTAGTGTACAATGTGTGAGATATTGGACTCCAATCTACCACAAATACATTCACATCAACAACGTCAACGTAGGCGGACCTAATCAGCCTGTTGACACTACTAAAGTGACTGTTTTGCCATCCATGAATTACGAAAACGTTCTGCTTTGAGGAATCGTAAATAGAAGAAGATGATAGCGCACGAATGTCTAGTGGATATATTTCAGGAATTGAAGGATTTCTTTGTGTGTAGAGATATAGAGTGATGTCGGAAGCAGATGCACGCGGCTCGGGGATAGGAGCCTGAGGATCTATCACTTCAACCACGCCGTTTCCACCGTACACAATTATGACGTTCTTCGCATTTGGACTTACTGAAACAGTTAGGCAGAATATTCACATGGAAAGATTCTTCATGGTATAGAAGGTGTCGAGAGAAAATAATAAAATACGTGGTAAAAGTTTAATAAAGAGCTTCAAATTACCATTTAATTAGAAACTGGCTTCATAAGGAATTTTAACAAATAAGCAGATGAAATTTGCTTGAAATTCGGGTGTTACATATTTTGTAGACGTACTTAAATAAGGGATCTTACTGTTCATTGAAGACCCCTCTTTTTTCTTGTTTTTGAAATGACTGAGTTTTGTCAGTTTTTTCGTTAAATCAGCTAAACCAGAGAAACTTCTAGAACCAGTGAATGACCCATGATGAACTATGTACAAATAATCACTGGTACATCAAAAAAGTTTAGCGCATGAACGGGGATCGATAATCTGATCGCAATCAGTCGATTCCGGAACGGGAAGGGAAAAAGTCTACCCTTAAAAGAGTAACAGGTGGCAAACTCTAAGTGTTGGTGACACTACCTCCTGGGCGATGATGATTGCGGCGCTCCTATCAATGTAAATAGACCTCTTAACTTTTTATGTGTATTGATCTACATTGAGAGGAAGGTCCTTTTTGTAAATATTTTTACTCTATATTATTTTATATAATAAAGTTGTTATTGTTTTTCAAACTTGCCTATCTTATGCATTATAATTGTTGTCTTTTAGGGGTTTTATTAAAGAAAAATACAAACGCAATTGATAACACATAAAACAAACAAAGAAATAGTATACAGTTAAACATTAATCCATTTAATTAGGCCGACATTCGACACGTTTCACGCACTGCACAAACCCTTATCACGCGACGGTGCGTACCTTACTTCTACTACTACTACTACAACTACTACATAATCACACCACCGGCGCGACGCACGTATAACATATAACCCTCCACGTCAGCACCAACACACCTAAGTGACCGAACTATTTCTAACACTCCCCCTCGGCGTGACAAGAGGACAACCCTAGCTGATTGACAAGGATCTGGTGTCTCGGTCTAAATAAACCTTTGGTTAAAACGTCTGCTATCATGTCTGTCGTCGGAATGTGATTGAGGGAAATAACATCTTTCTTGAGTGATTCTCTCACGAAATGGTAGCGTATGTCGATATGCTTACTTCTTGCATGGAATACAGGATTCTTTCCGACCTTTATAGCTCCCAAGTTATCGCAGAATATAGGAACGCTGTTTCCAATTTCAAAATCCAGTTCGGTGAGGAATTTCTGAAGGTAAATCGCTTCTTTTGAGATGTCCGAGAGACCCATATATTCGGCTTGATTTCTGTTACCTAGAATCCCAAACGATCGCACAATTATTCCATAAGAAACAGAAACCGGTATGAGATCTTCGGTCTACCAAATTTCCTCCCCAGTCGCATCGACGAATCCGGTAAGTGGTTCGTCACTAGGAGAATAAGATAAACATANATTAAACTAAATTAATTATACCTGTTTCTTTTAAGGTAATGTGGTGGAGGCACCGGGCATGTTAAGCAGAAATTTTATATTAGCTCTATCCCCATTTTTAGATTTATTACATATACCTACTGATATTCTTTATTTATTTTTATTAGCATTTATACCTTACTCTTCCGTTTCCATTCTATTCACCCTCTCTACCTCTAACTTCTCCTTGTTAAGTGCTAATACTGTGTTATATCATCCATAAATCTAAGCATAATATTAGGAAACTTTGAAACGCAGATCACGATTTCGACCTTTTTGGATCTCATCATCACTCAATAGGCAGTTGCACCCACCAGACGGCGATAATAAAGATTGATACTAATGTTTTATGTGTGTATGTCTAATCCGAAACATGTTCTGTCTTTAATAAAACGGATTGCAATTTCGACATACGTAAAAAATCAAAAATAGCTGTGTTGACGTATATCCTTGTCCGACTCCGTTCTTAATTTTTACTTGTCTACCATGTTGCTGAAATTCTGTAGTATACTCAAGTATCTGTTGGGTTGGTCAACCGTACTAGGTGTTTCTTAAATAAGTAGCAATCATTAGAGGGTGTGAACTAGATGTATTAGGAAACTGCAAAGTGAGTAAGGGAGAAAGAAAAAAGTGTGAGAATACCAAGAATAATTTACAATCCAAAGCTGATTCTGGGCGTAAATTGGCGGCGTACAGAGAAATGGCGATAACTAAGCACCTACATCGATGGAGAGTGTAAATAGTGACGGTTGTGGAATGACTGAAAAAGTAAATACCAGCTGCTTACAAAACCATGCAATGGAGAAGTTTCATGATATTGTTAATATTATATTCAATGTAATGGTATTAAAATATAGATCAAAACTAATCAATCACCGAAAGAACTTTTGAAATCCATCAATAAATGACTTAGAAATAGATTATTGAAGTTTACGTATTTTAGTACGGCACGTCTGCGGTTTCTGATTCGCTTGTGACGTCATTCGACCTATTCGATATCACCGCACCACGAATCATTCAAGTATTAGTTTCAGAGTCGCGCTAGGGCTCTTGCTTCGTTCGTTTATTTAATTTTTAACTGTTGTGCTTTGACACATGGGAACAATATAATATTTGTAGGTATTTTTTTAACTTCTGTCATCGGGTAAATAAACAAAATACGAATCGAACGGCGTGAGCTTCTACACAACAATACATTCATACGTACTCGGTAAATACGTACGGCGTCGTTTAGGTCAAATGACGTCACACGATGGAGCGCCGCGTGAAAATACTACAATGGCGCAGTAAACGCCATCTGTAGCACAATGCTACATTTTAGGATTACATATGCTTCAACAAGGTCCACTTGTGTGGATATCTGCTTGCTGAAAACGAATCCCGGCGTAGCCAACCTCAACGTGATAGGCACGTTAGCTTAATCGAATAAAATAATTCGAAGTGGTCTGTATTCTGTCGAAACTGCCAGACGCGGATCGCGATTTCGATCTTTTTGGATCTCATCAGCGCGTCGCAGACAGCTCCGACAGAACACAGACCAACTTTTACCTGCTGTCTTAACAGCGCGTTTTAGAAAATACCACAAATGGCGCGGTAAACGCCATCTGTAGTACGATGCTACATTTTAGGATTACGTATGCTCCAACAAGGTCCATTTAAATATATGGATATCTACTTGCTGAAACGAATCCCGGCGTAGCTAACCTCAACGTGATAGGCACGTTACCATAATCGAATAAAATAATTCGAAGTGGTCTGTATTCTGTCGAAACTGCCAGACGCGGATCGCGATTTCGATCTTTTTGGGTCTCATCAGCACGTCGCAGGCAGATATCCACACAAGTGGACCTTGTTGAAACATACGTAATCCTAAAATGTAGCATTGTGCTACAGATGGCGTTTACTGCGCCATTGTAGTATTTTCTAAAACGTACTGTTAAGACAGCAGGTAAAAGTTGGTCTGTGTTCTGTCGGAGCTGTCTGCGACGAGCTGATGAGATCCAAAAAGATTGAAATCGCGATCCGCGTTTGGCAGTTTCGACAGAATACAGACCACTTCGAATTATTTTATTTAACAAAATTATTCTTGCAAGCGCAAAGTTAAAGTCCCATAACTTTCTTATTTCTTGAGATATTTTATCGATTCTGTCACGTGTTTGTTTTATTCTTTTATAATTTTTATCATTTATCCATAAAAAAAAAATGGAAACTTCTTCATAGCGTATGGAGAGCTTTAGAAGAATGCAATGTACCCACAGAAACGATTGAACTTAT